CCTGGCTAGCAGGGTGATTTTTAGGTTAATTCTTAAGTCCTACCACCACAGGAATCTGCGAGAGTGCTGTCTCTTTAAATATCCAAAATAGTCAAGCCTCTTTTTAACCCTACAAAATGGCGGCATCCTCCGGACCGGCTAAAGTCCACAGCGCAGCCCACCTTTCTGTTCACCTTCACTGTTTGTTCTTCAGCCACTGTGCATAGTCCTCTGTGCAGTCCCTGGCTAGCAGAGTGATTTTTAGGTTAATTCTTAAGTCCTACTACCACTCGGGAATCTCCAAGCTGTCTGTGCTGTCAGGATCGCTGCCAGACTGCAGCTCTGTATGTCTCCTTTTTTGGTATTTTCACACAAATTCTTCTGCTAGTTGGGGTTTAGTCCACTTCTATATCCTTCCCTTCAAGGCTTAGGGGTCCAGGATTATCTTTTGTGTCTGTGTTAATTGGTTTCCCTTTTCTTTGTTGAAAAGGGTCTGTGCAGTCTTTCTGCCTAGTCCGCCATCTTGCCCAGGAATCTCTCAGCACATGTCTCTTTCAGCAGCATGTCTTCCTCAACCAGCAGTCAGAGAGAGTTCTTCCTCTAGGAGGCCTCCTTTTGAGCCTGGCAGCATGGTCAAACTAGCCAGTCATAGCATCAGAACTCTCAGCACCTGAGAGTGAGTCTCCCATAACATTGTATTGTGCCACACCTAACAGAAATAACCCAGGTTGATAATATTTACAATCAAGAGCTCCTCAGTTGCTCATTCCATCACTGAGTTTACAATGACTTATGGGTAGAAAAGCCAAACTAAGTAATTTACTACACTGGAAGGTTCTTCCACTAGTTGGTGCCTAATCCACTTCTGTATACTTCCTTTCAAAGCTCATGCTCCAGAATTATCTTCTGCATCTCTGTCAATGGGTTTCTCTTTTCTTTGTTGAAGAGGGTCTGTGTAGCTTGTCTGCCTATGCCACCATCTTACCAGAAGTCCGACCAATTCCTTTTGGTATAGTGACTATGTGTATTCCTTCCATCTTGTCTTGAAGCTTCCTGCATCATTCAGTATTTTGCCTATAAAATCCTTCAGTGTTGCTACTCGAGGTTTGAATTTTTTCTTCAGTTCTTTCAGCTTGAGAAATGCTGAGCATGTTCTTTTCTTTTAGTTTTCTAACTCCAGGTCTTTACATATTTGATTGTAATACTTTACTCTGTCTTCTCAAGCCATCCTTTGAAATCTTCTGTTTGGCTCTCTTCATTATTTCTTCCATTTTCTTTATCTACTCTCGGTTCAGGATCAAGTTTCATTTTGGTCTTTTCTTTCTTTCCAGTCTTTTTAGTGACCTTTTGCTTTCTTCAGGGCTTTGATGTCATCCCACAGCTCATCTGCTTTTTGCTCATTGGTGTTCAGTGCATCAAATCTATTCTGCAGATGGTCTCTAAATTCAGGTGAAATATACTCAGTTTTGTTTTAGCTCTTGTGGACTTGTTTTAATTTTCTTCAGCTTCAACTTAAGCTTGGATATTAGCAGTTGATGATCTGTTCCACAGTCAGCCCCTGGCCTTGTTCTGATTGATTATACTGAGCTTCTCCATCGCCTCTTTACACAGATGTAGTCGACATAATTCCTGTGTATTCCATCTGGTGAAGTCCACGTTTATAGTTGCCATTTATGTTGCTGAAAAAAAGGTATTTGTAAAGAATAAATCATCATCTAGTAAAATTCTATCATGTGATTTCCAATGTCATATCTATAAGTAAAGCCATATTTTCCAACTACTGATAGTTCTTCTTCATTTCCAACTTTTGCATTCCAATCAGTAATAATTATCAATACATCTTGATTGCATGTTTGGCCAATTTCATATGAAGAACTTGGTAAAAAATATTCAGTTTCTTCACCTTTGGCTTTAGTGGTTGGTGTGTAAATTTGAATAATAGTAGTATTAAGTGTTCTTCCTTGTAGGTGTATGGATACTGTCCTATCACTGACAGCATTGTACTTAGGATAGATCTTGAAATGTTCTTTTTGACAATTAATACAATGCCATTCATCTTCAGTTTGTCATTCACAGCATACTATGATTTTCCATAAAATTGTCCAATTCAAAATGGCCCATATCACTCCATTTCAGCTCACTAATGCCTAGAATTATTGATTCCATTTCATTTTTTGACAACTTTCCATTTCCTAGAATGTACTTTGTGCATTCCATGTTCTGATTATTAATGGATGTTTGTGGCTGTTTCTTCTTATTTTGAATAGGTCCTGAAAGTTTGCTCTATCTATGTCTTTAAGGTTGTCTGGTTTTGGAGGAGCAGCTCTTCCCCAGTCTTATTTTGAATGCCTTCCAACCTGAGAGACTTCTCTTCTGGCACTATATCTGACATGTTTCACTGTTATTTGTAAGGTTTTCAGTGGCCATTTTCTTCTAAAGTGAACCACCTTTTTCTTCTTCCTAGTCTGTCTCATCTGGAAGCTCTGCTGAGACTTGTCCACCCTGGGTGACCCTGCTGGTATTTGCAATACCTAGGGCATAGCTTCTAGCATCATAGCAGCACTCAAGGCACCATAGTTCAGCAGACTGACAGATGAGTGGTGGAAAGAGTTTCTAGCATAATTAAATCAAACACAACCCAAATCAGGTTTCTTCAGTACTGTCTGGTTCCAGGGTCTGTAGATGCTGGGGACCTCCCATAAGACCTGGTTATTCAGTGTTTCCTGAGCTCCCTGAAATCCTCCTTACATAGAAGAGATTGCCTTTTCACTATCACCGTAAGTATCCATAGAATAAACCCAGCAGTACTGAAAGGCAGCAAGGAAAGTGGTTAAGAATGTTGGCACTGAAGAGAGTTAACCTGCATTAAATCCTGGTCTGCCACTAACTAACCTTGTCACCTTTGGCAGAACACTTAACCTCTCTTGTGTTGTAGTTTCCTCTTCTGCAAATTGGGATATCATAGTATTGACCTTAAAGGGTTATTGTGAGGATTAAATTATTAATGTGTGGAAAATGCTTAGACTAATTCCTGGTCAATGTTGGCTGTCACTGTTGTAGTTTATTATGTAACTTAAGTAACTTAAGTCACCAGAAGAACTAGTTATAAAGAAAAATGAATATTACTCATTTTTGTTTTGCAGCAAGAATTATGTTATTCCTTTGCAGTGCAGCTGTCCTGTAGATTTTGAGTTTCATGTGGATTTGATTCAGGCCAATCAAGCCTTTACTGTTGAGCCAACATCTGGTAAGGAGAATAAAGATTTCAAGTTTTCAATTACATTAGAGTTCTCAGATCAAAGAGAGGGTTTGAAAAGAAGGTGGTTGCAAGTTATGAAACAGAACAATGAACATTTGAGTGTATTATTTTAAAAAAATAATATTAATGAACTTTAAATATTTGACATAATATAAATTTTAACCAGACACTTGAGAATAAGGACACTTTTGGATAATTTAAATCATACAGATAATTTAAATAATGTCCAGCTATATGTGTCCTAAGATTAGAACTTCAAGTCAGAAATAACCCATTCTAATTCCAATTTTTTGTGCCTTTACAGCCTTAATTTTATATTCACCTTTTAGCTCAATTTCAAATAAAATGGGGATGTTATTTCTTTCCAAGCTTTCAGAATCTTAGTGCAGGGTTTAATGAATTTGTTCCATGAGCTCTGGTGACATAGTGCCTAAGGGATTTCATTGCTAACCAGAAGGCTGGCAGTTCAAATCCACCAGCCACTCCTTGGAAGGAAGGCTGGACAATCTACTTCTATAGAGATACCACCTCGGAAACTGAAGGAGGGTTCACTATGAGTCAAATAGACTCGACAGCAGTGAGTTTGGTTTGTTTGTTTGTTTGTTTTCTGATGGTATAAACAGTCTATCTTTGCATGCCCATGGGACAGAGGTCCTAGTACTGCTCAGGACAGTTGAAAATGAAAATTTCCTTCTAAAGTTATTTCAGCTTCTCAGTTCCTGTCTCTTGATGTTTAACTTTGGGATTTAACTATCTCTCTACAGTTGTCTCCAGTGAACTCTAAAATAGTTGTTTGTTTGTTTTAATTTTTCTGGATATTTATCCATTTATTTACAACTCTTTCATCATTGCAAATGAGTATTTTGTCCATCAAATGAATGTTCAGGGAAGGAACTTTGAATTCATTCTATTATAAAATGTATATAAAATTTTCTAGAGAGCCAGGAGTCATTCTGATATTTTAAAACTATAAGTTAACTTCTATTTATATTGTACAAAACAGGACTTGTTTGTCTTCCCAGTGACAACAGATTTATTCTTTTTAATTGTTTGTGTGCCTTAAAAATAAGAAAAATTAAGTAGTTACTAAAATTATGCTGAGCAAGGTACTATTTCTGATTAAGTATAGGTAATGTTCTCACAATAGACCTTTTGTGTTGAGATTGAAACAATCTAGACCTGAGAGCCTGAACTGTGTCAGAGGCAAGGAAAATAAATGGAGACTTTTGGAGATAGCTGGTGATTTTTATGGCCTGGCCATACTTCTCTGGAAAAAGTGTCCCAAGACACAGAATATCAATTTACAAAAGGAATTTTGAAACAAATTTGATATTCAAAATGGTCTCCATTGTGTATATGGTGTTGCTAAAATGACATTACAAACTCTTTTAATAAGCTGGACCCTTCAAACTCCTTGGGGGCTATTTTATGAAGTCTACTGTATCCACTGCTAGCTAGTCCACCACTTTCTCAGGAGTTTTCTTGGTTTTTCACTTTATTTATGTATCAGTACGTCTTTGACTGTTCTGTGTTTGAGATTGTAGAATTTAATGATGACTTTTAGACACTTCCAGTAGAAACACGTTGACTTTATAGCCAGTGGATCAGGGCAGGCTGACAGATAACCAGCTGGGCTGTGAACTCACTGGCTTTGCTGACTTGCCAGTGAGTCTAGTTTGACTCAGATGTCTTTGAGTTGCACAGTAGCGGATCGCTATTGCCTCCATTTCACAAATTGGGCCCCAAGACTAAGACCCGTGAGCTAATTTTACCAAGGTAGATATTATGGACACTATTTCTGGTGTATCTTTTGTAATGATTGTTTCAAAGACTGATGGGGACATCCATAGTCCATCAGGTTATGAAACAACACCTTCTTTAGGGTCTAGAAGCATCATATATCCATGTCTTTAAGGAATTTTGTACCAAGGCTTGACAAATGAAGAAGTGTCAACAAAATTAATTCCGTTTACAAGATAAGAATTCATTATCATACCCTCAACTTTAACTCCATTGGCCATTTCCTAACTAGGCATCCTTAAGATGCAGGTTTGCACTATAACTGTCAGCAACTGTCAGCAGAATTATCCTGAGATCAAGGAAAACTAGTAACAGATTTTATGAACTTCTTCATACTGCTGACAAGAAATCATTTACAATTAGAACATCAAGAACACTGTTGATAATATTGGAAGAGCCAGCAAAACATGACTTTGGCCAAGATCTTAGTATTGGAGACCAGTCAAATGCTGTAAAAAATTATTGAACTTGTTTACATGTGACCACTTTGAAATCTTGGACATTTGTTTAGTGTGCACTGAGGAAGAATGCACTCAATTTATTTAATTGGTAAATTATAGCATAAAATAGCTGGTTAAGCAATAGTTCATAGAACCTGTATGCCCAAAGTTCTTATATAAGTTTCAATACTTATTTTCTCTTTTTTAAAAAAATTAAGAGGAATATATAAGCCATTTACAAATAACCTTATATTTTGCATATTCTTTCAAAATATAAATTTCTTATAACTTTATGTTGATTTGAGGGTAATTCAGCATCTCTGCCCTTGCCTTGGCCTTACATTACTTTTTGCTGTAGGCATTATCCATAGACCCAGGGCCCCCAAGCCAGCAGGCAGCACATCCAGGCAAAAAACAAGCCCATTCCCTCAGAATGAGGACTAGGGTGTTCTGGACATTACACTCCTCATGTCCTGAATGTCTGGACCTGAGCTCTTGTCTGATCATATCATCTCAGTTGATCTCATTTATACTCCTAGCAATACCTGCCTCTGTGCTACCCATGCCTCAAAATTTTCATTTTAAAAGGAAACTTCCCTTTTTTACCTCTTTTTCCCTCCAAAGGCTCCTTGGCCCCTTGAGGAGGTATTTTATCACTATGCTCCAAAGCTAATGCAACAACCATCACCTTCAGGGTTCAGCAGCCTCTGGGAGGCCAGGCAGAGTCTGACAAGAATAGTGGGGAGAGGTTGTCCCTGTTTTTCCTGACCTCTTGACCATACTCTTGCAGAGAAGTAAGACCAAAGACTCCCAGAACCCAGCACAGACTATGCAGGGGACAGATCACAATTGTCAAGGGATGGTAAGCTGTTAATGGAAGGGACTCTGCATCCTTTAGAGTATTGGCACACAAAGCAAGCCCTATAAAATGCTTCTTACTGGTGAATGGGCTCACCACAGAAAAGATATACTGACTGTATGACAATGTAGAGATGTAGCAACAAACAGATATATCTTTGGCAAGGATCACTTAAAGCAAGTGATAGAAATGAGTGAAATACCAAGGATTATTAGCAGTCTAAATATCTGTGCCATAGAGTCTTCATTTGCTGTGACTAACGTAGTGCCTGAAGCATTTGACTGCTAACCAGAAAGCTGGTAGTTCAAACCCACCAGCCACTCTTTGAAAGACTGGGTGATCTGCTTCCACAGAGATACCATCTCAGAAACCCAAGGAGGGGTCACTCTGAGTCAATCAATTCGACAGCAGTGAGTTTGGTGTTTTGGTTTTTTAAGCAAGAATTGGTGCTTCCCAGAAAATTTAAAACTGAACTGGCAATTGAAAGTCTCAGTACTTATATTCCATTTCTTTACAGTAATTCTCCAGAACTAATTTTTTTTGTCTTATTCTTTCCATGATTTTATTTTCATATTAAACATTTTAACAATCATGCACAATTTCTTGTATATAATATCCACCAGCAAATAATTGTGAAATGACGTCAATACATTTTTAGTGGAACTTACTGCCATGAACTGTTTTGGCCCTGGGGACTGTATAAAAAAAATAAAATAACAGTATGGATTGAGGTAGGAAAGTCTTTTGTGTACAGAGACATGTTGATAAATACATGAACAATAATTTCAAAGGGTGACAAGTGTTCTGAATAAATGTAACTGAGTAATGGGCTAAAAAGGGAGGGAGTGGACAAGGGAAAGGACATCCCAAGGAAGTAACATGTGAACTGAGACCTGAATGATCAGAAGGAGCCAGCTATGCAGACATGAGGGTGAAGCATTTCACATAAAGGGAGTAGCAAGTGCAAAGGACCTGAGGCAGGGAGGAGCTTGAGGTGTTGGAAGGAGAAAAGAACACAGGAGGCATAATATGAGAGAGAGACAGGGAAAACCCAGATCAGACAGGGTCTTGCAGGGCCTAACCAAGAATATAGGTCTATTTCAGGTGCTGTGGCAGGATGGATTGCCTGTGAGATTTGCAGAGAGATGCTACAAGTGTCCTTTGTGTCCCTCCACATCCATCCCCACACCTCCATCACTCTCACACAAGATTATTTGTTGTTCATCAGGGCAGAGACAGCCCTCATTAATCTCAGGAAGCAGGAGAGCAAATACGATCAGTGCTGCAACACACACTAACTAGAGAACACAAAGGCTGCCTGCCCAGCTTTGTTTTGATACCATCAATTCCAAATTCTGCTAGCTGGCAAAGACAGGGGGTTATTGATTTTTCCTTTTGGAATGCATGTCCTACAGAGTCCTCACAAATAGAAACTGAAAAACATAACTGCTGAGAAAGACAGGACTAAGGGACTTAAAAAAAAAAAAAAAAATCCATGCTGCTTTTCGTCTTTTTCTTACTATGCGTTGTAGGACTGTGATTTGCCACCTCTCTTTTCTGAGTCATTGTTTCTGTTTTTGCTTTTAACTTTTTACTGTGATTTGGTTGGAAATTTACAGAGAAAATTTGTTTTCAGTTCAACAGTTCATACACATTTTGTTTTATGATATTGATTATAATCCCCACAATGTAACAGCTCTCTTCCCACTTCCTCCCTGTGGTTACTTTTTCCCTGTGACCTTCTTTCTTATGCGTTCTTGCTTTCTGAGCTATCTCCCTGGGCAAGTGCTGCCATTCTGCTCTCCCATGGTTTGTTGTTCTAAGGAGTGCACTTATCTGGTATAATTGTTCACCTTGTAGGCCTGTGTATTGTTTGGCAGAAGGTTAAGCCACAAAAGTGAGTTAAACTCCAGA